TGCTGTTACTGCTTGCAGCCATTGGTTGCTTACTTCTGCCGTTGATAGTGGTTACCACTAAAGAGTAGCGAAGTGTGACGTCATTGTGAACCAGGAAGAGCAGCACAAACAAATAGAGTATATGCGCATGTTGGTTCTCGCGCAGGTTCTCACACTAACGCTTTTTACACTCCTAATTGTGCACGGGACATACTCACTTCAGTACATTGTAGTGGCGGCAGTTGTTGCTGCTGCTGTTGCCAGTGCTGGTCGCTCCTGCTACAGCTGTTGGTCACTCCTGCTGCCGACAATAGCTTTTGTGGCAGTCACTATTTTTGACTTTCGTTGCCATTGTATTGCTATTTACCTTGTTGTTCGATCAATTTCAGGGAGGTGTCCTCCTGCTTGTTCTCATGCTGTGCGTCAATGTTGCCTACAAGAACACATCCCGCAAGCTGTCGGTAGACATCGGCGGATCCAAACGACTCCACGCCTATTCCACCCTACTTCAGGCCGTCATGCTGCTGCCGTGGGCACTCTTCCACATGTTCATTCATGACGTAAGTTTCTTCAGGGGAGTTCTCAGTTGACTCAATCCACTTGCAGAGGAACTGTTTTTTAGTTGAGAGACCGTTTCGATTTCACTGTCTTGTTTGGATTGGGATGTTAGAGAGAGCAGGAATAATTTGTGCACTGCAAACCCAAGGGCGCAGGGAATAATTTTCACCCAAAAATTTGCCCAGCAAATCTGCTCTACAAAATAGTTTTTGCACAGCAGTCGGATGAACTTCTGTAGCCATTGTTTTTCCAGTTACCCCATGTCAAAAATCATGATGAATCCAGAGTCTCGTCCGCATTGAGCGATCGAGTTGCGAGTAATGTAACGTTAACAGAAACACAACTAGACAGCGCATGTGCGAGGATAATAGGGAGTTGAAGATGCCTCATTGCGCAATCATGACGCAGCCGAACAGACATAAATTCTAATGGTGTGCATGCTCAGTTGCTGTGGCCAGCACGTTGTCCTCAATATGACAAGTTTTTTTTGCCTTTTCACATTGTTGTTTGGCCATTGCATCCATATAGTGGTTCCGCGATGTGAAATCTTAAACTCCCTAATAAGTCGACTACATATTCATTGTCACTGCACTGCAGGCAGTGAATCAAAACAACTTTCACGGTCCTGTTAGAAGGTTACCTTAGCACTCCTTGCCACTAGTGCGCTATTTGCTATGGCTAGTGCGAAAGTTGAGACTGATTAGCAATAGCAGCTGTAGGCTCATTCATGTAAGTTTTCTTTCCTGCACAAATTGTGCTGTGGAGAAATATGATTTTCCTTTTAATTTATTCGTTTGTCTCTTAATGTTTGATACCGGCTGGGAAATGGCATAATTAATTGATAAGCTGGTCTAAGCTGAATTTATAGTAAGCACCCCGGCCAGGCACGCGCGCCTGAAAGGAACATGATGTCACAAGGTGACATCGTGATTGGATAGCCATGTCTGGCCAGGAATGCAAGTGCACATGCTCATGGGAGGTTGCTCCAGTTCTGCCACTTGCATTATGAATAATTCAGCGATAAGTATTTAATTCCGTAATGGCCGATTTCGTACTTACGAGAGTTGACTGTATATAGTTGGCTTAAGTTGTGTTTTCGTTGTGTTATCGGCACTTCACAGCTAGCTTAGTAATTCAGGTTACAAGGCCAGTAATCGCAAAGAGTGCCACTCTCTCGTACTGAATGAATTCACCTGTAAACGTTCTGGTTGCATCGCAGCAACTGTGATTCATAAAATCAGTGCAGAGCAAATGGCTAAAAAAGCATTGCGAATTGCGATGCGACACAGGGAAATTTATTTCCCGGGGCGATAAGCGGACTTTAGCATTTGTGTTTGTTTCTGAAGTGGTACCTGTGAGAATTTGGGTCTGTTATATCCAGGGAAGAAGTAGGATTTGTCTGGTCGTTAAATTTTTCTTAGACTGGCCAAGGAAGATGCAAGAATGAAATCTGAGAGAGTTGGAACTGGCAATGTATCCAACAGGTTCCACTTTGTACTTTTATTTGCTGTGTCTCGTTGCCTCCCAGAGCCAAGTCCTGTCCTGGTGGTCACTTCTTGCCCCTCTCGCTGTCATCGTCTTGGTCGTCTTCATTGTGGACTACTACGTGGAGTCGGTGTGCACCAACCGACTGGACATCTTCAAGACCAGCCGCTTGGGTGCCTACGCCCTGTTCACCAGCGCCCTGCTGCTGGCCTACCTGTGGAGCGGCGAGGGGGCAGCCAGTGCCGTCCTGGGCCAGATGGGCCAGGGGGAAGCGGTGGAGCACGGGCTGTCTGGAGGGGTGGTGTTCAGCACCCTGCTCTTCATGTTGGGTGAGATTCAGTTGATGGCTGTTTTCACTCTCGATCTAACTCGGAACTCCGCTGCACAATTTTTGTCTTGAGATAGTGGCCAACAATTGCTTGAGCCATACCATAGTGGGAAGCAGCTATGCACTCCAAGGACTAGCAAACTAATCAGTGAATGAGCACTGTCTAAATGTCTCTGCTGATTGAGGATCGTATCACCCAGTGCATAATGTTAGGAGGTTGATGCATTTGACAAAGGGGGAATGGAAGTTGCCCCTCCCCCCCCATTAAAAATGTCAGCCAATTTAAGAAACAATACATGTACTGCCACCCTTTTGGGGGTATGAGGATCCTTTAATGGACGAAACAAATTGGACTGTCATATTTAGACAAAAATATCCACTTTAGCCAGTTTTGACACAGTACCCTCCAGTTCCCTCCATTAGGAGTCTCTGGGAGAAGATATTACATCCCTCGTAGCCACCATTGTGGAGTGTTTTCATATCCAGCTGACCGGCAAAAAGTATTTGTCAACAAAGCAATATGGTCTGAAGAGTTCCTGATTTCTCTGGTCTCATTTCCAGCAACAAGGGTTCTCGGCTTCCCCATCCCAAAGGCAAACACCAAAGGCAGCCTGGTGGGCTACACGGCAGGGGGGCTCCCCCTCTACAACTTTACAGGGGACGCACTGCACAGAACATCACAGTCCATCATGACTATTTCCAAGAACATTCTCAGGCAGATTCTAGAGGAGTACGACTCGCGGCAGATCTTCTACTACCTTTGCATCAATCTGGTAAGTTGCCCCGACGTGGAGATCAACAGTTTGATTTCCTAGGGTTTTTTTTTTTATATCAAATGTTAGGCTGACTTGAGGCCTTCAGGAGGTATACATGTATTTAGGCTTCTATACCTTATTTTCATTCTCCTGACCTTACTGAGTTCACCGTTGGAATGCTCCGATGAAAGCATCAGCCCTTCTGAAAGAATTGACCTCTAAATTTTGAGCTTTATCTAATAATGTTATGCCCCTCCAGTCAGCAGTTTGCTGCTTTGTGTGTCTTCTGCTTTCTGAAGTGTCAGACAGAGTAGTGTTTACCTTCAGTGTGAAGGATGTTGTCGTTCTTTGTTTCTGGTTGGACCGAATTTCACTATTCATTTGAGTACTGTCCATGGAACAGGTGTTTTAGATGTCTTGTTGTCTTTTCATCTTCCTAACATGGTAGGCGTAAACCTTCATTTAGTTCACCTGTGGCAATTGGATTAGCAGCTTGGATTTCATCTTAGAATGTGTGATTTTTGTACCCATTTCATTTCTCTTGCTTGATAGGCCTGCAACTCCAACGGGCTGGCAAACGGTGCCTGAACCAACAGGCTACATTTTATCTTAGTATATGCGATCGATGGTTTATTTCCTTTTAATTACACGTGATAGGCTTTCACCTTTCATCGAGCTCCCCTGTGGCACCTGGCCTAGGTCTCATTTTACCGTGCGATGTTGATGTTTGTTCTATCAAACAGCCTAAAGTTGCATTCCGCTCTTTTCTATTTTAAGGGTTCAAAGTCAAATATTGAAGTGGAGGTCCATTCTGGGGTTTCTGTAATTTTGGGGAAGAGTCTGTTTAATTCTAAATTGTTGGCAGGATAGGATATGTCATTTTCTAAGCAATTTCGATGATAGCATAATTTGTGCCCAGTCAGAAACGTTGAAACAATGTCAGAAACAAAGACACAAAGCTGCCAGAATAATGTCACATTGTTACCACACACTTTTACCCAAGTGTTCAATGTACATACCATTGGAAAGCTTTCTTTCTGCTGACTTCAAAAATATCAATATCTCAATTTTTTTTAAATTCTGACTTTCAGCTCAGTATGTGGTGACAGTTCACATTTATGCCCTCACCTTCAGTAAGCTCGCTAACGGCACCTGGACCAACAGCCTCGAACTCATCTCAGAGTGTGCAATTGATGTGTTTTAAATTTCATTTCCAATGCTTGACAGACGTTCACCTTGATTAAACTCACCCACAGTGATGTTCACACCTATTTTTTTCTCTTGCTTGGTAGGCCTTCACCTTTATCGAGCTCGCCTACGGCGCCTGGACCAACAGCCTCGGTCTCATCTCGGACGGCTTCCACATGCTGTTTGACTGCACCGCGCTGGTGGTGGGCCTGTCGGCCGCCGTCATGTCGCGATGGAAGGCCACCAGGATCTTCTCCTACGGGTAATGGGGCATCTGCATGGAACCGGGAAGCTACACAGGGCAATCAAAAGGAGGGACTCTTGTCATGAATGGTGCATAATGCACTTGACTAATCCGCTCCGAGTGGAACAAAAGCGAGGGCGTATTTTTTTTAGTACTCACTGCATAGGTGCGAGTTTATAACGGGATCAGGGGCGGATTTAACGCAGAGCACGCTGAGTACGTATAAGGAATGTATTCCTAAACGTATGGTCTTGCGTACATACGCAGAACGTAAAACGTAATACCATCTGCTGTCCTTTTGCCGCTTGGGGGCGCACTTCAACTCGGGGCGGATATCCAGCTGTCCGTCATTGCCTAGGGTCTGATTAGAAGCATAAGCAAGAGGTTGTATAAGAAGTACAGGGAGGCATGCCCCCCCCCCTGACACCTGTGTCTCCATTTGACGTTGAAATTTTTGCATGCCTCTACACCAGATTATGCCCCCCCAAAGTAGGCTGCTCCCCTCCCCCCTTAGACAGAACTTGGCAAGCCGCGACAGTGCATCAGTCTGTCTAACAAAAGCGGTCTTTAATCTACACACATTCACAACGTCTGACTCTCTCACTCAGGTACGGGCGGGTGGAGGTATTGTCGGGCTATGTCAACGGCCTATTCCTGGTCGTTATCGCCTGCTTCGTCTTCATAGCGGCCATCGGCAGATTGCTGGACCCACCAGAGATCAACTCGGAGAGGTTACTGGTGAGCGAAGAGCTTCCTGGAAGAATGCAGCTCATCTTCCGGGGGCACATTTGCAAAATTTGTTTTGTGTTGAGTGTTTGATTGAACGGGGTGGATGGTAAACTTTGGCTCTCGGAAGAGATACGGGGAATTAAATGTTGGAGCGTAAGAGGAAGACTTTGATAACGGTTTTATACCTCTCCTCTTCCTTGAATCTATGTAATCTCTCTTCATTTTCATAATCTTTAATGTTCGAAGATATAAAATGAAATAATCAAGACACATTTAGGGTTTTCAGAATGTGGGAATCTGTCAGCTTAGCATTTCCTACAGATGACTGACCTTAGTGTGCATCATGCTTACCAATATAGGATTGTTTTACCGGAAGCGAAAAAGGCATTTCCTTTGTCACTTTTTTTGGAGGGGGTTTCGGGCAAAAGATGAAGGAATTTGCCCTGATTTAGTTCCTTCTTGACGCTTGGCATTTCCTCAACTAAAATTATCTCCCGTTCAGTTCTGAGTTTTTTTTTTCTTCTTTCCAGACCGTCTCTATTGCTGGCTTGCTGGTCAATATGATCGGCATCTTTGCGTTCAGCCACGCCCACAGCCACGCCCACAAGGCAGGAGGGGGAGGAGCCTGCAGCCAGTCGCACGGGGGCGGGGGCCACGCCCACTCCAGTGGCCATCACGGGCACAGCCATAACAGCCTCAGTCACAGCCATGATGCCAGAGCGCCTGCCAAGAAAACCACCAACTCCAACATGCAAGGTCAGAGTTCTTGCACGATTGTTAACAGCATAACAGACTTAAGAATTACTGGTTTAATAACTAGTTGTTGATTTGAGGCATACCGTGTGCTGGTGTGCTGATATTATTCAAGTAACTGCCTCCAGTGGACAGTTTCCTGGACCCTCCAAATCCTTAACCATGCAGGTGGCCAATGGCATATTCTTTATAACTCTTACTTTCTTTAGACTCTAAATTTTCAAGGGGTACGAAGCCACTGTAAAGTACAAGTGACCAGACTCTGTGTTCCTCGGATTGGTGAGATCTGAAATGTGGTGGATTTTTAGGAACCGTGGAAAGTGGGACTAATTTGGATGAAACTTTCACATGTACATGATTTGATGGGAGCTCAGACCATGTCCAAAGTTTGTGTCTTGTGACTTGAGCACACATGTTGCAAAGCTACCATTGCCATCAATGTCTGATTCGAAAAGCCTGAAGTTTCAGGGATGATCCTCACACTTCATTAACATCCTCACAATTAATGAAAGTCCTCACACTTCATGAATGCCTCTACCTTTCCTGATGTCCTCCCACTTCATGAATGATCCTTACACTTCATTAACATCCTCACAATTAATGAAAGTCCTCACACTTCATGAATGCCTCTACCTTTCCTGATGTCCTCCCACTTCATGAATGATCCTCACACTTCATTAACATCCTCACAATTAATGAAAGTCCTCACACTTCATGAATGCCCCTACCTTTCCTGATGTCCTCCCACTTCATGAATGATCCTCACACTTTATGAATGTCCTCACGCGTTCTTGCCCTAGGCGTCTTCCTCCATGTCCTGGCGGACACCCTCGGCAGTGTGGGGGTCATTGTCTCCTCTTTCCTGATTGGTCAGTTTGGGCTGCTGGTGGCCGACCCCATCTGCTCCATCTTCATCGCCGTCATGATCTTCCTCAGCGTACTCCCACTGCTTGGTCAGACGGCGGCCATCTTGGTTCAGAGGATCCCTCCAGAGCTTGAAAGCAGCATCGCCGATGGTCTTAAGAAGGTGAAAGGCTGTTACTCAGATTTTGCCAGTTCCATTTCACAGATAATTAATAATGAGAATACATAAAGTGCACATAACCTAGAAACCACATGTAGGTAAAGGCTGTGAATATTATTACCCCTGCTCATCAGGCCCATAGACATTCCCATTGATACCTCTGGGTGGAGAGAGGCAAGTAAGTGACTTGCCCGTCCTTAGGTGACATCTACCAAACTGCTAGATTCAAACCCCCAATCCTATGATCTATGGTTACAAACTACACTTACATATCCGCTAGGTTTGGATGCAAAGGAAGTAGGTTAAAAAAATGGAAAAAAATCACTCCTTTCAGGTATTTTGGCCTTTTATAGCCCGTTTGTATATCAGTCGGTTTCTTACGTTATCTGTTCAGAAGCAGACATTTTTGCCTAAAAGTAATGGAATATCTCTAACCTGTGACAACTAGAGGGCTCCTTCATGGAAGTTTCCCTTGAGATTTCAGATTCGCCCAATTGGAGTAAGCAATCGTTTCACTGGAACGATCGTCAGTGTTCCAACTGTTGACATGTTCTCTTATACCCAATGCACCTCAGCTGCACCCACTCAGCAGTGTTCTCAAGTTTTCACCATAAAACAAAAACATCTTTCCGCCCTGTTCGGGGATCCATCAGGTGGCCTTATCAGTGGGATTTTTTGGGGTTTCCAGGTCAAGCTTTTGGATGACGTGCTGTCATACAGGGAGCACCATTTCTGGTGCCACTCTGCAGACAGCTACGCTGGGACCTTACACGTGCAGGTCACGGCCAAAGCCAACGAGCAAAAGGTCATCCAGCAGGTAAGGGAGAGTGGGAAACACCTGCGATTGCCATACCTCATACATATTCATGATCAAGAGCTGAAGTCTTATTAATTTGTCCACTGCCACATGTTAACTACTGTATTTGCTGTTTAACTGTTGCTCGGCAACACATAATCTGTGTTTCCCTTGATCAGTGATACCATGGGTTTTAGTTACGGTAAAACAAATGTGACATGGTGTATTTTTGGTGGAGAACATCCGAGGAGGTATTGGAGGTTGAAAAACTAGTTCCCTTGGATTTTCCTCGGAACAAGTTTGTCAACTCACTAAGCTGAAGCTAAATTTGGCTCTTTACCCTCAAATGATGTGATAGTTGTGTTATGCACACTTTTACCTTCCAGCCTCACAAAGTGGCTTATATGACAAGCTTTATACCCAAGGCAAGCTGGGCGTCCATCTTTTGAGTTGTGAAAGGCAGGCCCAAATCCATTTTCGACCCTATTGAAAATGATGCTGGGAAACTTATGCAAACTCCTATTGCAGGTGGCGGCCATCTTTAAAGAGTGTAGCATCCAGAACTTCAGTGTGCAGGTGGAGAAAGAGGCCTATTACCAGCACCTGTCTGGCCTGAGCGTGACTTTTGACCAGTTGGTGGAGACGACCCAACAGCTGAATGCCATTGGCCAGCAGGACGACACACTCCACGACATCAAAGCCGTCTGAGAGTGTCATGAATAAACTCGTGAAATGTGCCAAGTAGATGCTTCAAGTGATGTACTGTCAAAAAAAAAGAGTCAACCAAGCCATTTGACCTCGGTGTTGACCCTATTTTGACCTTTAGAGCAGATGCCATGCAAGACTTCAGTTTGAGCACCACCGGTCAGCCATTGCACACAAGAAAAATTTTGCATCATGAGAACACTGCTTGATGTCAGTGACACTGTGCCGGGTTTCCTGGATTGGTTGAAACAGGCTTACATGTACTGTAAGCTTGGCTGTGCTTTGCCAGTATGCTGACCTTAGGTCTTATGGTTACAGGAGGTTCCATTTTTTTAAAAGAGGTATTAATGAATCGCAGGCACCATTGGTTGGAACAAGCTATGTTGGTGGGGAGTGTTCAGTTTGTTGGTGGCTATGCGACCACAAGGCTTGCATTTCATAGTCATTTGTGGGCCAGCAAAGTACAGTTTCCATCAAAGAGGGCTCCATTTCAAGGACAATTGGGCCTTCTCTTGGTGCAGCAGGTCCTGGACTGAACGAGGGCTTATCACATGTATCTCAGATTTTTTTCTATGGTTTTTAAGATGATTTAGTTTAAGAATTAGAAAAAAACTTCAAGAAAAAAAGGAGGAATGTCAGCAATTTTGACACGCACTTCAAGTGTACGGTTCTTGAGCAAAGAAACTTGAATTAAGAGGGCTTCCTGAACACTGCACCAGCAGTCCACCAATTAAAATATCCACCTCAGCCTCAGTCATCGCCTCATTTTTCTGTGTCTGAAATTTAAAGGAAGTGATTTTGGTGAAAGAACTGCTAGCATTAAATTTGATGTCATGAGATCATACCGAGCACCAACAAATGCATGAATATTCAATTTCCTATACCTCATTATACGAAATTTGAAGGATGGAGATTACCATCGACAAATTGCGGCGGCGATCATACTGTACAAAGAGGTTTCCTGGTTGTGAAACAGATGGTGCGTAGCAAGCGTTCGGTGTGCTCTGGCTATGGACATACCAGGCATGCCAGAAAGCGGTAATTGGCCAGATGTCATGGCCCGGGGCAGTTCAAACTCCTTCTGTGCCGTCCTTCCTCTATGGTCAGACTGTGTTTGTCTAGGTAGCGACATGATACTATAACAAGTTTTCTCTTTGCGAAGAAGTTAATCAAAGAAAATGGTAGCTAGTGGCTGGCTCTGGAAATACGGCTAAATGAGCTCAGACCAAGTCCATTTAAATGTTTGAACTTGAGAACAAAAGCCTAACATTGTAACAACTGACCCACGTAAGTTTTTCGATCTTTTTTCTTACGTTGCAGAACTGATATTCTCGATGCACGCATGTGTACATGCGCAAGAAATTTGGAATCAGTCTTGGTCCTTGACTTGTACAAAACAGTCCTGGCCAACTTCTAGACCAAAGTGTGTTCTTGTTGCAGTTTCGATTGATTGTGGACAAACGACTAATTTTTATACTTTCGACATTGCCTCTTTTTCTGCGGGAAATCTGACGTCATGGCATACATTAGAAGGCGGCTTAAAACGATGAGCCCGTGATTAATACCCAAATTTTGAACATGGTTAACCAGAATATGCATAAAAGCACAGCGCATCCCCAAGAACGGTGCGACCAAGTACTATCCAATTTAAACAAAATGTGAACTGACCGGTATGTATACCTTGCATGGTGTTTGAGAAGATTAACAAATTCTTGGCTTGATGATGTTTTTACTACTTCATTTTTGGTTTTGGCGATCCAGAGATTATACCCCAGAAAACTCAGTCAAACAAATCTCATTTGATGGGCTTTGAGGCTTTTCATGGTGAAGGTAGCAAGTTCGGTAAAGAGGTTGCGGTAGCACCATGCAGGGATACATGTATCTCTATTTGAGTAGGCCTACGTGTGGTTCCGAAAGGGTACTTGACATTTGTTTTCTCACTTGAGTGCTTGTTTTGACGTGAGGAATATCTTTTGATCGCTAAAAGCAAATAGGATGACAAAAACTCGTAGCCAAGAGTGTTCTCTTTAAAACCATACAAAAATACATGTACCGCCAGTTAAAATGCTTAAAATGTGTAGTGTTGGCAAGGACTTATGGGGATGAACACCGTTTGCACTGCAGAGAGCGAAGTTACAATCTTGGGTTGGTTTCGAAAAGATGCCAGTTCCCCGTGAAAGCGTGTTCTCGTACGATACTGGGCTAGAGTGGTCACATCGATTAATTAGCTTACCCAATTAAGGCAACCTTGACCCGGGATGGCCGCGTGTGCTTTGTCAACTTACCATAATTATATATTCCAACAAGCGAGACGGTAGAGGCCATGTCTTCTTTTCCCCATAGTTAAACCTATGTCAACTTTTGGAAGCTTTTATCGAACATACCCGTAAAATGTGGACGCAACTCACACTAAACACATAGACTTGGGGCATGAAGGTTCACAAGTTTCCTTTTTGCCGAAACCATAAAGACTGAACTGAATTCAGTGAGGCTTTTGTAATTCCCCCAAAGCAGATATCTATTTTTAGACCACCCTAACAAAAACATTCTGGCAATTCTGCTGTCTTGGAAATGCAGAAAAGCCGAAGTTAAACATACATGTGCACGGTCAGCATGTTTCATACGTGAATGGTTCCAGCGTGTCGAGCGCGTAGTGGCGGATATACCGTGAGTGATATACATGTATTATTTTCCGTTTGGAGTCCTAATCTCCCTTGTACAAAGCCCGAGAACAAACAGTGCCAGGAGACGCAATTAAACTCCTTGGAGAGAATCCCCACCAAGCCGGGTACTCACGCGCCCAGCTCCTTAGATCAAAGGAAAGGGTCTGACGTCGGCGTCCCGGGTATTGGACTCTGTGAATTACAGACGACTATTACAGGAAGTGACTGGTACCCTTCATCTGTAGGGTTCGTCAGGTTAAGCCCGCGACGTACGGGGGTACTCCTTGATGTAAACTTGCTTACGAGCCATCGAGCACTGATCGAGTGTCTGAAGATCAGTGACGCTACGCGACAAGTAAGTTTCCGAAAATGTAACTGCTTAAACAACACCAATTAAGGATGGTGTGTCGGGAAAACTTTCAGTAAATCCACAGAAACTGATGAGAAGCATCACAGCAATAGATTCGAAGTTGCTAAATCCGGTAAATTTCGATTTGTTGATTTGGCGCAAATATTATATACAGGATTCCCTTTTATCCGGGCCCTCGATTTGATCCGTCGATTGTCTCTATATTTACAGTTTTTCGTCGTGATATTTCTTATTAACACGCGCATGGGTCCATTCTTTTTTTTTTCCTAGCCATGGAAAAGGTTACACCATGGTTATATACTACACTACTGTATCCCCTGTACTGTCTACAAACGATATTTTTCTTACGCTGCAGTGACTCGGACACTAACTCCAAGGCCGTGACTTGCAAACAAACGTACTATACCCGGTTGCAGGTGCATAACAGCGAATACAATACGGCTCAGTCATTCGAGTAATTGTTGTCCCCGAAAAACGCTGTTATTACCTTCCCGCATGCAGCAGGGGGGCCGTCACACTTGACCAAATTTTATGTCGTCCTGAACAAAATGAGCGTCAAGGTACAAGAAGTGGGATAAAGCGGCTAGTCTGGCTCCGTACTCCTAAAATTGTTGTGACTGACAATAACACTGACTGCTTCAGTAAGTTGAAGTGCATGGCTGATATAGTTATATTTCCACAAAAGGGCATTTCTGCCTCCTCTTACAATCCAGAATGGGACCGGAATTCAAGAATGATCTCTTTTCTTTTTCATGTACAGCATAGAAAGGATCCATTTCCCTGCACGTCATGTGATATTTTGATGATTCCAGTCATGCTTAATTTATGTGTATGGGGTGTTGGGATTTATTTCTCTAATGGCATGTTGTACCATTATGAAGGGTTCACTTCTCAGTACTGGCAAATGCATGTGAACACGATGCATGCATGAATTCGAAATTATGTAGAAAAGGGCATCGTTCCTGCTTGAGTGTAATTTTCTGTGAAGGTGCATTCAGTAGGCCTACAACAGGCATGGCGCATGGCCATATAGTTATGTAGTAAGGAACGAAGTGTACATTTTTAAAGAATGAATCAGTACCCCGCAAAAAAATGCATTTTTAGTAACAATTATTTGGTGTTGTGCGTATAACTTTGATTACTTAGCGCAGATCCTATTGGAAGTCGACATCTTAAGATAATAGATGACGACGTGTTGGAAACAAGAAGACGGTTTCCAAGTGTCCTGTCATGGTGACCCCGAATCAGAAACATGTTAGTGACGTCGAAGCAGGGTGGCCCCTGAAAACAAAGAACCAGACACGGTTACATCATCTGACAGAGGCAAGCACAATTCAGGAAGCAGACGACATTCATGAACATCATTTTCACTCAACAATCGGCATGTTTCTCACAGAGCTTCTCTCAAACGACGAAAAAGTGGAGATCCTTTGATTTGAATGGGCAAGGACGCGAAGAAGAAGAGTCTCCACCTTTTCAGTCGTTTCTCCGATTTAAACCACGTCCCTCCCCACTATTATTGTCCATTTTTTTTTACAAAAGAACAGAAAGGATTTACTGATGCTTTGAGAGCAGTGACATGAATTCCATCATTTGTCTAGCGTTGGCTGGCTGTACATAAAAGCTTCATATCTGTCCCAAGTAACTCCTCGGCTGGGTGCACAACTACTTATCATTCACAGACACAGTACTTCACGTACATGCTTTATACGAGGTTGCACACAGACATGCAGATGACACCGTCAGCGTATCGCATGGCACACACACTGTCCTACGGTCCAAATGGATTTACATATACAGTATATCTATTTGTTTGTTGCGGAAATAGGCCCTTTGCTAAATAAAAGTTAGCAAAGGCTATCGATATGACTGTACGGAGCTGGGGACCTTTTACACCACCAAGCAAGTTTGTCGAGTGACTGATTTGAGAACTACAGTTCACTGTCTCTTCAAATGAAGAAAATTGTTCATGAATTGTGGTTGTGTAAGTTGTTATCGAACACTTTACAGAATAGGGTGACGTCACAAGAGTGGTTTTAAAAAATACACCGCTCTCGGGGGGGCATGTTAGCCCAGGCTTTATGTGCATTTCGTTTCCAGTCCACACTCGCTCTTGCAGGTTTTCTCCAGGTACTTCGGTTTCCACCTGCGTCTAAAACTGGACCTTCTTCCTAGCTCTGAAATGTGATGCTGATTAATAAAGGTTATGAATAAACATTTGGTTATTGGCGCAAACAGCCTGAGTAGCTAAAAACGCCATTAAAACAAAACAACAAAAACATCTCTTTCAAGATGTGTTTTGCGTCGGGGAGATGTTAATTTACATAACGGGTTTTGCCCTTACCCAACGTATACATTGATAAACACTGTATGCTCAGTGCTTGACCGAGAGCTTGCGAAAAAAATTCGAGAGGTTTAGACGTCTGCACTAGTAAGCAGAAGGTCGTGAGTTCGAGTCCCACCCAAGTAAGCTTGTGAATTTTTTCGCTAGCTCTTGGACAAGCACTGAACATACAGTGTTTATCAATATATACGTTGGGTAAGGGCAAAACCCGTTATATAAAAAAATCTCTTTCATTCCTGCATGCGGCTGCAATGAATCCCCTCTCATTCTTGCGTAACCGGATGGCTGCAAGGTTGTTTGACGTCTAGGGTACCTTCTTGGTGATCCTTTAGCTTTGTTCTTAGCGATAGTATTAGTAGCTTCGTCGCTGAAGTGAACCAGGTTTGGCAGAAGTACAGTCGAAGCTCATTAACATAAGGCCTGTTAGACTTTGCTAATTACCTTGTCCCCTCCTTCCTCCATGGTTATATCAGGAACCTTGTATCATCAGGAATGAAAAGCAAAGGATTGGGACCTACAAATTTCCTTGTCTTAAACAGAATCTTGTATTAACGGTGCTCTAATTAACGAAGTTCGACTGTATACCACCAATAGGTGAGCTACATAAAGTGACGTTGCCAATATTCTCTTTAATTCGTAATCCAGGCAGTTTACTTTATTTTACCTTGAACATAAACTTTCATTTATACCTTTTTTCGGCAAAAAAAATTATTGTCCAAAAGGAGAAAAAATGTTATTAAGAAAGACTTTCGAATTTGTATTTATTTTCTAAGGCAAAGGAGCCATTAAAAAGATCAGCATTCGCTAAAAACATTATGACTCTATCTATTCTTCGCTCAAAGAAAAAATAATGGTTCCTTTTTGAAAACTAGAGATGCCTTTGAAGCGGTCAGGGAAGTTTTGGTCGAGACTCCAAGGAACACTGTTCTGCTGCTTCAGATGCTGCAAAGGGGACGAGTTCTGGAGTCAACGGTACTACGAGACCCATTATTTAAAAATAGGTAAGTTTAGGTGGGTTGGTTTGGGTTGGGTTGCATTGCGATGGGTTGGGTTTGGTGGGGTTGGGTTGGGTTGGGTTAAGTTGATTTGGGTTGCGTGGGTGGGAATGGGTTGGGTTGGATGGAGAAGGGTTGGGTGGGGATGAGTTGGGTTTGGTGGGGTGATGGGTTGGGTTGGGTTGGGTTGGGTCGGGTTGGGTGGGGAGGGTT